TAATTTTAGTTGGCTTTTAATCTCCACCACCATTTTGCGAATGAAATATCTTCCCATCCACTACGACAAAAGCGACGACAGCTGCAGAGATCTGCCTGGCAGGCTTCAGACTAATGACATTCTGTTGCAGTTCCATATCCCAGCTGGGCAGCACGTTGTACAACACCGGCTTATTAATGGGAACACAAAGAACTTGTTTTGATGAGGCTGACATCCTGCCAATGCAGTCTTTTTTGTTATGTGTTCACCTGGAAAACCCCCCAAGGTTTTTGATTTGTGTTTGGGTGGAGACATGACTGACGAAAACAGTCTCTGGAAGCTCATCTTTTGAACACAGGTACAGTGCTACATTATACAGATAGAATACAGGCAGATCAGGAGCATATGAAATATATCAGTAACATGGGGGAGCAACTTTGGTTCGAAAATGAGCCCAGTGTTGGAAAAACTGTCATGTAAAAATTCATACTGTAACCTGTTGTTCTGTTGGAAATGGGGCTTTTTATTATAGAGACTGCACCTACTGATACGGTCTGCCTGAGGAAGTCAGGAATTCAATGTTTCATCTTTGTTGTAGCTTGTACAGTGAGAATTTTACAATGGCAAAATAAAGGTTTTTATTTTTTAAAGCTGGGATTCCTTTTGTATAGTACTGTATATATGAAATATGTGCGTCTCATCCATCCATCCATTTTCTAACTGCTCCTTCCCATTCACAGTCGCAGTCTCGGCAAGCAACAGGCACATACTGTAGTGGGATATACCCTAGACAGGATGCCTGTCCATCGCAGGGCACAGACAAAGACAAGCACACACGCTAGGGCCAGTTTTCCCAGAAGCCAGTTGCACTGTGGGAAGAAACCAGAGCTCAACCCACGCAAACATAAGGAGAAAACACAACCTCCACACAGATAGCACCCAGGGTCCCAGCCTGCTGCCACTATATGCAGCTGTGGACAATGAGATAGACAATGGATATTACTCTGGGTGTATGTTTTTGATTCCAATTGAAAAAATGAAAAAAAAAAGTCTGGAAAAGCCTGAATATCCCACTGTTGCTGAGCCGTTGTTGTAATGTCCTTTTTACCAAATATTAAGCGTTTTATGCACTACTCTCAAACTGTGGCTGTTTATAATGAAGAAGTGATGTATATTATCAGGCGCAGTGATCTTTTACTGACCTTTACATTTTTCTTCTGGGTGGATGTGCATTGACCAATATGTTGTGATTTTACAGAATGGCCTATCGGAAATTCAGAGTCTTAGCAAAGTTTTAAAATGAATGTCGAATGTAAACCTAAATCTCAATACTAACTTCATCTGCCAGTGTAATGTTAAGAGAGCTGTCAGTCACTCATATGGTATCTCTTCATTCTAATTGGTTATCCATATTCCAAAAAGCACTCAAACGAAGGATGTGATTCGCGTTAGCTTACAATGCCAGCTTTTCACAGTGGGCTCCCCTCTGAGCTGGAAAAGGATTTCAATTTCCCAACGCCTCCAGCTTAGCTACACAAATACAACATCCCCTTAAAAAAATAAAATCATTTAACTGCCGGCTAATTTGAAGGTCTACCCAGTGATAACTGTAATGCTGTTGATTCTTAATTACGCCATGCAGCTCAAAGGTGGGGGGCGGGATTTTTTTGGACCATGTGGGAAAAATGCAGTTTCCAGGTTCTCTGAACTGTAGCTGCTGAGCTGTTTTCGGCAGTGTCAGCTTGCCCCTATCAGGCTAGAGAAGGTTTCGTCCTCTTGCTGAAAATACCTCCTTTGTCACCTGTCAATCAGCGGTACTCGGTTGTTAGGCCCTTTTGCCCAGTTTCCATGGAGATCAGGCTCAGACTGCTGAAAGGTCAGCGGAATTTGCCTCAGGCCCTCATGTGGCCTGTTTTTCGCTTGATTATTTCTCAACCGTGTCCGTTTCAAAATCTCCAGGGAGTCTCGTGTTATTCAGGCAAAAAACCCCAACGGTTTTTAGCATCTTTATTTATTTAATTTTGATCATATGCTACACATGAGTAGCTTCAGTAAGTCTTTGAATTAAAAATGAGATGCCTGTGCAGACCTTACATATTCATTTCCAGTCACATGATCCATTTCCAGCATTCTCCCGAGTGGAATAGTGTATAATATGAGAAGCAGTTAGTGTTGCTTCCCCAAAGTCTTTGGGTTTCAGGTTTATTTCTGCTCTCAGGTGCTTTATGTGTGTGTGTTTTTACCAGTTTACCATGGAACTTACTGTCCTCATGCTTCAACACACTTCCACTCTCCTTCCAAACACAGGCTGGCCAGGTCAATGGACGTTTCTTAAGCGTTCCTGAGTGTAGGTGTACGCTCCATGTGATAAGCTGCTGTCCTGTCTAGGATATTGTTCTTCCTTATGCCTACTATTTCCAAGACTCTCACCAGGCGAAGCAGCTTTCTGTGATGGATGGAATTTAACAATTTATTTATTGAGATCTTATCATATACAGCATCACGTAGTCTGTCCCGCAACTCCCAAAAAAGATGGTAAAAGATGAAAATCCTTTGAAGTTTTTAGTCGCAGTGGCAATTCGGGGTCTTCAGAGTCCATTTTAGAGTTGAGACTTGTTCCCTTAAGAGATTTTAGAGAAAAGCTTTTTTTCTGTCTCTTAGGGAGTTTACCATGTGGTTTCCAGACCAATATATATGTTGTTCAATTAAACAGGGTACAGATAGCCAGGTTTTCACAAGATTCTGCAATTAGGTTCTAAAACAAGTAATTGAATAAATGGTTTTGTATCTACTTTGGAGAAGTGCTGGTCCACAATTTGGTGAAAACATTGAACAGAACACTGCATGTGACTTCCTGTGTGTATGCTCTGGTGAAGCTAGTTGCTGTACCAGAAAGAACCTGAACAGCATTTTTAGCCTTTTTATTACCTTTGGTTACAGAACAACGGGAATTTAAGAATCTACAGAAGGTGGTACCTGTGTGTGTGTTTCTGTGTAGTTCTGATGATGGAATGGCATCTCCAAATGCTAAACTAAATGGTAACAGATCTCTCTGCTACACTTGTGATGAAAACTACTACATTTACTTTTTCTTTCAATGTGTAGATGTTATTAAAAATAGTTAAAATGGTTTCATAAGCCAAAACCCACAGTGAATTTTATGTATGAGAAATATGTGCTGTAACTTTGTTTGTATATGATAGATATTAATCTTAATTCAGGAAAATAATTATCTTGGGTGATCACTGTAGACATCCTTACACTAAAGATACAACTGTTATCCAGTGGCCCGAATGCCCTAACTGAAGGAAGCTGCCCATTGAAATGTTTAAGTTATTGCTCTTCCTCCCTGTATCAGCATTGCTGAGCTTGCTGAGGTGAAGAAGGCAGGGATAAATCCCCCGTCTTGGTCTTCTGCCTTCTGTGTCCGGTAGCTGTGCACATTGGCTTGCTCGGGGACATGGCAGGATGAGGCCTCACGGTGAAATGATTAGTGCCAATGTAAGATTCACCTTGCGGTCCCAGCTGCACAGTAGTCTATTCCGCATTGTAAACCAAGGCAAACATGGTGCAAATGCCAAACCTTTTAGAAGAACTTGAAGCGCCGATGGGAAATTATAAGAAAAGTAGGTGAATCGTCTTAGCTCACAAAGCAGTCATCGCCCCCTTAGGTAGCTAAATAAATTAACATATGCAGAGGGTTGAGAGACATGCGCTAAGCTTCAGGGCCCCATAAAACACACCTCATTTAAGATATATTAGGAGATTAAGAGCCTTCCTCTTTTATTAGGGGGAAATCGCAGATTTATGGATCCTAATGGATGGTCAACACACTGCATTTAGGAGACTCATAAAACCCCCTGAGCTGCATCACAGTGGCAGATATAGGCTTTGTGCCCGTGAGAAGCCACTTGCAACATGATTTCGTAGTTATAGCCAGTACTTAGGGATTCAAATGATATCAGGGTGTTGTAACGCTCGGCAGCACTGAGATTGTTTTGTTTGCAGATGTAATTGCGGAGGTTAATCTGCCGATGGATGCAGTAGTTCTGTAGTCTAGCTGGGAGCACAAAGAAGCAGCAGCACAGACACGGGCTGGCGAATACTGAGGATGAATTGGAATAAGGCGCATGTGCATCATCATTACCCCAGGCCTCTTCTGTCCCTGCCAAGGCAGCAGCTGCTTTTGTTGGGGGGGGTTTGTTCATTTATTGATGAACTTTATGTTGCGTCTCTGCATCTGTTCTACAAATCTATTCTTAAACTGTTGTCTTGTGGCCTTTCACGCACTTTCGTAGCTCTTACTCTTTCTTTTTTTTCCAGAGCTATAATCAACCATTTCAATCCCAAGATCGAGTCCTATGCTGCTGTGAACCACATCTCTCAGCTCTCTGAAGATCAGGTAAAGAGCACCATTCCTTTTTGTATTTGAAATTAAGCAGCAAATCCCACACACGTTATAAAGCGCAGCATATTTGAAAGAATGGGTATATCGTAGTTTCCATGAGAGCTTGATGGCGTGATCTTGGATTTGATTTACAGGACTCAGAGTAGAAAGAGCACACAAATGAATGTCTGTGACAAACCACCAAGCACAAAATAGAGCAGCTGTATGTGTCAGTTTGTGTCCTAAAAAGTTTACTTGAGAAAACTACTAGCCGAAATAAATATTTACCTTATTGCTGTGGGGAAGGTTTGAACAACTGTGTTTTCCTGGTGCGCTGGCCTAGCTTGGTTAGCAAGTGACCTCTTCTTTTTTAAAGGCAATGACCTGGTGTCACTTCCAACTCATTACCAGGGAACTGGAGGGGATAAAACAAAAGGCATTGAGTCTCACTGATAAGAGGCCTTGAGTTATGTATAAAGGTAATGGGGAAGTAAGATTATTGAAAAGAAGAGCCCTCTTTATTTGGAAGGCATGAACAGCTGTTACACGATGTATTACCCTGCAACACACCATGCCACATATTTGCATTACAATGCCACCCTGCACTGTAGTGTACACCTGGGACTTCTAGACTCGGCTATCAACAAGATGCACAGGTGCTCAGAGGCAAGAATACAGTAAATGAAAGTCTTTCAGTCCTTATTATACATCTGCTTACAGCAAGTCAGCTGCTTCCATTCAATGCTTTACAGCCACTATGCGTTTGAATTTCGTGTTCGCTGCTTTGATTGGGACATAATTCTGCTTCCAGAAGGAAAATGTTTGCAGTGTGGGGTTGACAATGGGTGTTCCAGAAGTGGCTGTAGGACTGGACTTTGGCAATGGTTTTGAACGGGTCTGCGTGAAGCTGTGATTGTTCCCTGCAGCCTGCTGTTTACTCCTTCTCAGGCATGGACTTGTGCTCACTGCATGGCCCCACGTGCCTTATCTTGTGTCACAATGTCTTTCCTCTCCAGCATCCCACCAAAGAGATCAAATAGCAAGAGCAATACCACACACCCTTTGCAGATATTCTCCAGAGTTCAGTAATGGAATGGGACAAATTAGCAGCACACAGCTCACGTCCAGAGAGTCTTGTGAGATACAATAAGACTTGTGAGATGACAGTAAGATGCCAGTGTCGAGATAAGCTGGGGTTGTTGAATAATTATGGATTGTAATTAATTGATTAAACATTACAGACTCAATAAATACAAAATATATATATATCCTACAATGTTATAACTTCATCTTGAACTACGATGTATTTGTGATATGGATCCTTTACTGCACTTAACATCATGCCTGGGCCAGGTCTGACCGTTCCTGTTGTTGCAACATTCCCACAAGCTCCCAACCTGTCATTCAAACTATATTGGGTCGCCGTTCAGTTAAGCCAGCCCTTTTTCTATCGGGCTGGCAATCTAGTTCCCAATCTCATTAGACGCCCTATTTATTTGTATGGTTGCTCCGCCAGTAGAGCCTCAATCTCCGTGCAAGTGGCCGCATCTCTCTAAATGAAAGCTTTTCTTTTGTTTCACTGCTTCACTGCTTCCCTGCTCCCCTGCACTGCAATACAGTGGGTCTTTTCTCCCCCTTTTTTACTTTTTCCCTTTCCTGTCTTCTCGTTTTTTCTTTCTTATTTGTGCATTTGCCCCCCCTTTCTGTAAACCATTCTGTCTGCGTCAGCCTGCCAGCCTCTCTGTGATATCAGAGGAGCAAGGCTGATGTGAAACAGAGTTTGCACTCTGGGCAGTGGCCCAGTGTTTCTCATTTATTTCATGCTTTGTGCCCCTTTGTGTGTGCCTCATTGTTCCCCATTCTGTCATACTTTTTGAAGTCTTGATTTATGAGTCATTTCTTCTATGCTGTATGATTTAACATAAAAGTTATATTTCAGTACAATGTGATATTGAGGCTATGATCATTTGCAAGAGATGAGGTAGTTGATTGCGTTATGTAAAGGCAGAGGTCATCTGAAACTGTGAAGGGCAGATAAAACCAATGTATACGATTGTGATGTCAGAATGCCAGAATCCCCAGAACTCTACGATGCCAACCAGCTGTCACTCTCACACTTGAGCAAAAAAAGGCACAAAACCATAGGAGTCTTGAAGAAATGGCAACACTCACTTAAAACATAGAAACATTTATAGATTCGAAGTTTTTATTCTGTTTCAGCTTAATGGGTTTGACAGTACAATCAATACATTGACAATGTATTGATACCAGTAATACAGTAATATGGATGGATCTTTGCTCTCTGCTTTATCTTTGGAATGGTGCTGGAGTTCATGACCAGTGTATAGAACGGGGCCAACCAGGCAAGAGCTTGTGGTCCCAGGTGTATAAATGTGGCATGATGTGGTTGTATCCTGGTGCCATCCCTCACTTCAGATCCTGCAGAACCTTTGGTAGCTCTGTGACTTTAAAAGTTTAAAAGTGACTTTAAAATGTTCTGTCTTAATTCACCCCTGTCCAGTTTTTGTCCAGGGGTACCTTGGCAATACCAACCAGATGGCTGGAGACTTGGTTGGGGATGATGGAGGGGTAGTTTTGGATGAGTGGCTTTTGAACCTGTCCAAACCGGCTTATTAGATTCCATCACTTCCTGCTGTAACATTTCAAATTAAAATCCATGCTGGTCTCCCACTTAACCTTGTGTGCCATATTTAAGGACACGATGAGATGATCTGCCATCTTTGGGTCTCCTGAAGTTTCATGTTTCTTTAGACCTTTTTTAAACTCTTTTCGGTTCCACCACATTTTTTTCGGCTGTTGCATAGGATACATAAGATGTGTAGAGGGGGGTGCTCTAGAATGAGGCTCTGTGTAGGTAAGGGTAATCCATTTAGAGAGCTCACCCAGCACATGTCAGGGGAATGGTCCCTGTTCCATCTGGCTTAATGGAATGTCTCTGGTTGTTTGGGGTCATGAATAAGTGCCAGGTCATTTCTTGACAGCCCGTCCACAAGTACCATCACTGGCTGGTCCACTGGGTATCCCCAGTCTGGATGGTGACTGTTTAAGTCTTCCACATACAGTAGATTGCTGGGTGGGGCAGGGAAGGTAGCATTTACAGTTCCCAGCGGGTACTGAAAGTTTTATAAATGTTGGCTATGTGGAAACTGCCAAGCACTATGATGTCACAATATGTGATTATTGCCAGACGATTTGCTTGGGCAGTGCTGGTTTGGCACGTTCATGTTATGCATGTGATAGAAGAAAGAAAACACAACATTTTCCGACAGACGACACCTGAAGAAGGCTTCATGGCCGAAACGTTGTGTTTTCTTTCTTCTTTTTTACAGCATGGAATAAACCGATTACTAGTTCCTTTAAACCTGTAGTAGATACTCACTCTTTATTTGGGATCAAGGTTTATTTGGGAAGCAACTGGAATATATTGAATTATGCAATATTAAAAAAGTGGGCATAAATTTGCCTGTAAAAAGTGTAAATCTAGTTTGTGCTATTAGTCTTTTGGTAAGAATATATTTTGTTATGTAATAATAACAATTTAACGGTAGTCAACATTAAAGAACAGCAAAACAATAGATTTAAATTAGAAAATTGCCACAAAAAATAAAGTAGCAAAGACAAAAACTAGAAACTCAAAGCTGCTTTAATGGTCTCCAGGCACATCCTTGACAACAGTGTGGGGGACCTGTCAGTAGACCAAGGGCAAACTAGAATGATACCCGTCATGTTTGAAGTGCATTGAGCAACTCGTTTTTGAAGAAGCGCAGTCCTATGAGGTGTAGGTCTGGGTGTAATAAAACTGCTTTGCTTTCAGTCAATCAGTACAGTGGTTCTGCACCATTGTAGTTTGAGTTTTGCAAAGAAAATGGCAGTTAAGTGGCCATTCTGGACTTTTTTAATCACGTTGATTTGTTAGGTAGTGTGCTGTTATTCAAATAATACCCATCTTTGGAATGTATTGACCAAACAGGTTTTGAACAGTTTGCAGAAGGCTATTTCTCCACAAGCAGATGATAACCCATGGTGGGTGGGCAAATTATTGCAGCAGCTTGTGGGGTGTAGATCAGAAGAAGCATTGTTCACTGTTTAAGAACTCAAGTTTCAGAAAACAAAGTGATGGTCATCCTGGTAAATACAGGAACAACAGTTCCTCATCTTGTCATAGAAATCTTTAGCAGCAGTTTGTGTGCAGTTTTTCTCGATACTGTGTCCCATTTCAGGTATCATAGCAGCGTTTCAGGTACACATTTAGTAAAGCATTGGTTTTGGATGAAATAAACAAAACTTTCATACAGCTGGCACAGTAGAATTTGAAGTAGTTTTGAATACATGGATCAGGTGACCATCTGGGCTGGTGCAGGAGCTCAGTTGTGGTCACAAATTTAAAAGTTATTCTGTCCCACTATACCTACCTCATAAGAAGATGCTAGGCATCAGTATTTTCAAAAAGCAAGATAAAATCCTTAAAATTGCTATAGGCTTCCATGGAAGCCAAATATTCACATTAATAAACTGGGTACATCAGGCTATAAAGTTGCGATGATAATGAAGATTAAAGACAGCAAGTGATGGAGCTTCCTTTCCAAAAATGAGCGGGTTGGTGCACTTTTAGTGCATTATAGATAAAATATGTGCTAGATGTCTTTTTTTTTCTGGTTAAAAGGCGTAGCTTAACTTACAGCTGAAGGTAAATGTTACTTTACAGCTGTGGAAGTTGTCCAAGTTGAAGTGCTTATTCTGTGGGATTTGCCACTGAAGCTCTGCACGCGGACAGGGTGCCTCCTGCCATTCAGGGGCTGGAGTAATGGAGCAGGGCGGTGCAGCTGTGAGAGAAGCCCCATGGATCTCCTTCCACTCTGACAGATGGCCGCTTCTCCCCCTACAGCCGTGTGCACTCGACGCTGCCTCTCTCTGGCATGCCAGCACACTCGTCTAATGAGCTGTGAAACGCTCTGTTCTTCTGTCTCGAGCGTTGTCATCTTTTGTGCTGTGCT